GAGCCCACCCAGTCTTGCAGTAGCACTTTACACTTTGCAGGTGTGAAGCGCATACCAAACCGCAAGGCAGAATTATTTAGATTATTTAATATTGTTTGCAATGCCACGGGGTCAGATCCTAGAAGAGCTATGTCGTCTGCGTCTGTGAGTGAATAGACATTTTCCTCCGTGACATTGCCTCTCAGCTCGTACGGTTTTTAATGCCATGACTCTTTGGATAGCTGAGTTAGGCGCCAGCGATCCTAGAAGAGCTATGTCGTCTGCGTCCACCTGTGAATAGACATTTTCCTCCGTGACATTGCCTCTCAGCTCGTACGGTTTTTAATGCCATGACTCTTTGGATAGCTGAGTTGTTAAGGCGCCAGCTTGTGGACCGGAAGGTCCGTAGTTCGAACCCTATCTCAGGATCTTGACTGCTCCTGTGTAGGCTCGGGCTTTGGATGGAATACCGTCCTCCTTGTGTCTCTTATCCGCTCATTGGTTGCATTCATTATCTAGTAGATCATCCGTACCTCCTGGCCCATTCTATTCTGTTGGAATTTATCAAGGGAGAAATATTGAGGGGCGAATTTAAGCTGTGGGATGCGTCATCACTAGACTTTGTGACTCCCGCTTCTGATTAAGTTGTCTCCCTGAAGAGAAGACTGTACGGAGAAGGGGAATATTGGGCTTCTGGAAGTATTTTCATTTTGCCAAGTGAGTGATTGTTTCACACTCTAATGTTTCCAGTGGGGAACGCCGTTGTGGTCCCTTCATGGGGGGCTCAGAGGAACATCGTCCAGTTGTTTTCTCTCGGAAGACCACCTTTCTAAATTGTCATGTTCCAGGAGGGATTCAGTTATGAACACTCAGGAACCAAACAAAGTTGTCCTTTTCAAAGGGTTCATTTCGTGTGCGTCTGATCCATCCAGAGGGTTAAATGCTTATCTGCAATTTCCTTCAGTGGTTCCTCCCACTTATGAAAACCATTTGTATCAGGCAGATTGTCTAGTCCTTGGTAGTGTTTTTCTCTTGAGAGATTCATGTGGGTCGGTATCGGCGAATCCGTAACGAGGCAAGCAGAAAGCGAGTTTCGATTGTGCAATGGGGACTCCCACTGGAGAATGTGTCCAGCACCAGAAGCTGCTTTGACTAGACTATGTATTGTGTATGCCGAGCCGTCGTTTCTCAAAGAGAGTGCTGTTTTTCGTGCCAATTTAGAGTGGCGGAAGCAGATAGATAGCCAGTCCCTGACCTGGCAGGAGGGAATGAAAGAGCTTACGAAGAGTTTGGGTGCTTTCCGTTCTACTCGCCGTCTAGGATGGGGACCATGGGATCCTCAATGCGCTTGGCTGGAGGCGCTGCAAGATATAGCTCCTTATGGATGTCAGTGTTGTTTTTGTTGTCTGAATGAGTGTCTGGACCTGGGAATGATTGCTGTAAGTTAGGATCAGGTCCCTTCGCCGTCAGTTTTTATTCTTTCCTTTACAACAAGGCTTTCAAATAAATCATGGTCGTACGGCAGCAGAGTATTACTGTTCAACCTTGATTTTATGCTGTTGGTACTGATGATGTGTGAAAGTGCAGTCCTCTCGTCGTACACAAAATGCGACGGGCAAGTTTCATGTGCATCCTGTAGAGTTCACTATTGAAAGATTCACCAGATAAGTAAGCCGAAGGTATCCACGGCCCCTGTAGAAGTAAAACAGACAGACTGTTTCTCAAGTTATTCAAACATAGCAACCCTGTCCCACTCACATTGGATTTGCGTCTACACATACATACATTCTAAACTTCATCTAATGCCCTGTGTACTATATGTCTACAATCCACCCCAGGCTGAAGCAGAGGCCAAAGTTGACAAGAAAAGGGATAAGTTGGAGCGTTTGGTCTTGGACTCCCAAGAACGAGCTTATTGGGACGTACACCGCCCACCTCCAGGATGTGTGAATACCACTGATATTGATATGCGTAAGCTTTGTCGCGCCAAACGCCCCAAGAAGATTCCGTGTCGACCTGTGAATTTCCCGATCCCAAGCGGCCCTGGTAAGTAGTTGTTCACAGTTCGCGTTTCTCATGGCTGGCTTCGTTTGGTTTTCACACTGCAGACCTGAACTGAAACGAATAGAAGCCATACGAGACAATGAGCACAACATGAGTGTATCCCTTAAGAGATTTAGTACGACTGTGTAGTTCAGCTGTTTGTCGAACATTTCGAAGCTAACTGAACTCCGTTTTTTTTTCATTACCCCCCTCATCTTATTTTTCTAGAATAGGGGCAGAACGTAATGTCCTAGTGAACTCAGAACTAGGGTTTGTTTTGTGAGAATTGGAGAGAATCGTTTTTGTGAGCACTGGATGTTATTGTAATCCGGCTAGTGTGAAGTGAACAGTGGGTTGCAGTCGACCCTTGATCCATCTGACCGGTTGACGAACACCACTTGACCAAGTATCGAATGAAATTGTCAATGCAACACGTGAACTCATGAAACGTTAGGATATCTAGGCACATTTGCACGCAGCGGACTGCCTGCGTTAAAATTAAGTCGATGATTTTTCTCAGAACAGTCTCGTCCTCATTGAAACTGCTCCAAATGGTGCATCCTATTGCTACGGGCGGACTCTTTGGTTGGTCAGCTGCTCACGACCACCGGTTAAACAAACAATAAACAGGATGATTCATGCGGTCAAGCTTGGGTAGCAAACGCTCTGGCATCATACCGTTTGCTCTACGTGCTCCGGTGGATCACTTATCATCAGTTCGTTCAGTCGCAACGCACATTTGATCGGTTGATGGTTACTGAGTCGCCTCATCTTTTGGACGGTACTGCGCGACCTGGTAGTAAAACCACCCCAAAAGGCCACGAAATCAAATTTCCTCGATTGATTAGTCTATGTTGCGTCTAGGTGGATGGCAAAATTTGTTAGCATCCGTTTACTTGAACTGGGCCCCGCAATTCAGGTTCGCTGTTTCATTCCTTAGGCGCCTACTGCTCCACCACGCTGTGACCTTCGAGTACACTGCCGCCGACAAATGTTGTGAACCACCAGCGTGTAACCTTCGAGTACACTGCCGCCGACAAATGTGAGCCACCAGCATGTTCGAGGGGACTGGCTCAACCGTCACGCAAGTAGTTAAGTTGTCTGTAGACTGTGCCCTTCATGGGACCGATTAACCAAAAACTATTGGTATGCTGTCGCGGCAGACACTGTACACTTTTAAATTCCGGCTCTTGACACATACTATGGAGTGTGTCTATAGCACGGACCCAGGTAACCGTGCGCTCTCACCGCACTTCTCAGCTGCACTTTCCCAGTCACTTTGCCAGTCAATTCAATGACCTGTGGAGAAGAATGGAGCCGTCAGCACTGTCCAGCGTGAAAGTAGTTTTCCTCGGCTATCCGAGCAGCTATACGGAGTCAGCCTGGATATGCATACGCGCCACTGACTGAACCGACGGGGCTAGAGTCACATGCTGTTGAACCTTTAAACCCAATAACTTGGTTGTCAGTTTGTGATGCCGGTCGGCATGGCAAGGACAATGTGGGGTATAATTGGTGTTGTAGTCTGTCGGGTTGTGGAAGCCAAGGGAGGCCGTGCGCGAATGTTTTGGGCACTGGAAATAGTTGAGATGCAAGCAAGGCGACAGCTGTACAAGTCACCGGTAATCGTGGTGAATGGCCCGGGAAAGTCTGCGTTTGTGGTGACATTCTAAACCTATTACCGCAGCTCAGCGTCCAAGTCAGACAACATGGCCGTCCATCCGAACTCGGAGCTCAAAGTCCATACCATCGTACTTGATACTAGCGTGTTGGTTTGGCGTATGAAGGACTGCAGTCATACGGCACGATCAGAAATCACCCAATAATCTCGGTTGAAGCCAATCCTTACTCTGTATTCACGCAGCGATTAAGCGTAAGCAGAGACTGGTCGTTGGTTTGTTCGCTGAGCTGCGCAATTTGATCGCCAACCTTTCATCACCAATGTGGGTGACATCAGGGCGTTGTTAGGGTGGAGCGTAGCCCTGAGTCGGTGGTTGTGTAAGCGTAAACTTGTGGATACCGTTGCCTATCCCTTTTAATTTTGGTGTGGTAGTCTCCATTGAGCGAGCCATCTTGGTGGTTTCATCAGGTGGTCGCTTGTCTTCATCCTTGGGATATTCTTCTGGTGTATACTGCCACTGAAAAACGTTGAAGCAAAGGAGTGAGTGCGCAACGGAAAGCTTTATCATACGAATCTCAGTCTCTGATTTCTTCCTGTTTCCGCAGACGGACGCTTGCTATTCTCAGTCCTCGAAGGTATCCCACTACAAGATGCCGTAGCCAAATTGAACGCAGCGTTTCGCACCCGAATTAAAACGACAAAAGCAGCGGAAAGTTTACAGGTACGTTTTTGAACCGCAATGTTTTTCCACATTTGCTCCTAAGGGAAGTAAGACTCCTTAACGACTGTCTTTTTGCAGTGACTACTTCTGCTCTGTCCCCTCACATTCGTTCTAACCGTCAAAGAAAGAATCCTAAACTTTCTGGGATCAGCGCTGCATTCGGGGTTAATTAAACATTGGTTCTGAAAAAAATAACGAAATAGCGAAAGGAAACAACAAAAATTTCACTGTATTAATAGTTAGTTGTTCAGCTTTGACGCCCTTTCGGTGCAAATCTGCTCGTCACCCGGTGTGTTGTACAGTCGGCCCTTCAAATTTATTCGCACAAGCGAATTTCGGTTACTCGCTTCAGGAGTACCATCACTGAAAATTTGTGTAGAATAATTGCTTGCCTCGGGCTCAGGTACTGAATGCTGTGCGCGTCGAATAATACGACTAACGGTCAGACTCAGTTTCTGGCACGAGGGAATCTCGCAGTTTTGACGAGCGATAGACGGTTGATGAAACGGCTACAAACCCGTAAATCAGACGTGGCCACAACTCACTACAGGAGCGTTTAGATTACTCGAATTATTCGCGGTTGTGTACGATGAATCGAAACCTGGCAGCGGAAACTACAGTGTGACCGTCGTATGCGAAAAAGTATGGTTTCTCGTCGTTCTTTGTGGGAAATCCAACAGCAGCTCATGGTCAGGCCACTTGGTATACAGAGGTCGGATATAGACTTCTTTTTGCTTCAGTAAAACAATCGTTCAGTTGTAGCACCCCTCGGATGCCCAACTGCCATTGCACCAGAATGAAGCTTGCCCAATCCTAGACAGGAGAAGTTGGACGGCAGAGATCGGGTTCGAACGACAGACATTCTGGTTAGTAGATTCACGCTCTGACCACTGAGTCATCTCGTCTCAATAGGTTTTCATCGTCAGGCCTGCGCACTTCAAATGCTGAAAGTAACTGGTCACATCGTTTCACACTTGTGGTCCATCGACTAGTGAGTTGAGGTTGATGTTGGTCCTCATGCATTTCTTTTTATACCTTGAAGAGGAGACACGAAGTAGACTTGTGTACCGAGGCTCACGCTGTCAAACTTCGCTCCCAAATTACAGTTTTGAAGTATGGCTGCCTGTCGTCGAAATTTGAGAGCGTGACGTACTTCATCTGTGATGCTCTCCAAGTATTCAGCACGTAAGATTTGACGTTTAGCTATTAGGTGTTGCCACCAGAATTGGGCAGTGCTCCGGCGAAACACTCAAAAGTTTTAACATACTCAGCTCGTAGCGCCTAGGTTTCTGACCCATGTAACAGTGTGGATCACACTACAGCATTGGAAACCCTCCTCTTGGCAGATGAGGTGTCACTCCTGCGCCACGGTTAATACAAGTTGAGTAAGGCTTCTATGACCTTTCCGACCCGAACGGAAGTATTGTCGTTCTCCGGGACTGACAACAGCTGCTCAGGTAGACAAGTTTGCATGATACCTCAATCGACTCATCCGTAAGAATGACCTTACCGCTATCTAATTCTGACGTAAGTTGGGGCCATTACCCTGACCTTTCGTTCTTATTTACTTCCTATTCCAATGGTTGCCATATTTCCTCTATCCTTCCGGATGGCATATAAGAAATGAGTTGGAACCGCCTCACGGACTTTCATTAGCCACTGCACATGTGGTACAGTTAAAAACGTTGAACAAGTACAGTCAAGCACAGTGTGTATACACTAGGTACAGTGTTGGGTGCATTCCACTCACCCACATAAACCAAGGCAAGTGCAACTTGGATGGAAAACGTTTTCGAACGGGAAGTGGCCACCATGGACAGATAATCAATAAAGCTTCGGTGGACCTTAGTGGTAGGGACCGACTACATCGCGGTTCGAACCACGGACCTTCCGGTCAATAAATTCGCGCTCTAACCACTTGAGCCATCTCGCATCCCTCTTTAGGACTGTTTTTAATCTCGCTCTTTTACGTAGTGTGTTGCATCATCGCCCTTTTGAACTAAATTCCATTACCGTTCCACCGTTTATCAATGATTAGTCTGTCTTTCATCACATTGTTTTATCCTATTCAGAACTATTGTGATCAGTACTCGGAGTTTGATCTGCTCTTATCGGCTTCCGCACTAACGCCATCCACTGCAACGGTCGGTCAACCGTCTGCAACTGCGTCCGCCACGCAGCTCTTCGCTGCGGGTCCGAATAGAGCCGCATCACCTCACAGCAACACCATCGCCGGGCGCAGTGCATCGGACAAGGGTATTGGTGGTGGCCGGATAGGGGCTTCCGGTTTTGTTGGCTTTGTCTCTTCGGGATCCACAAACTTTCTCCGCACTGTAGGCAGTTCGAACAACACCGCCGGTCATTCAGTTGCGACTGGTACGAGTTTGGGGGGTTCAGGCGGTGGTACTACCCACGGATCGCTGGGACACATGATTGGCACATCTCAGAACCTCTGTAAGTTAACTTTTCGTTTTCGCACAAGAACAGTTTCCTCTCATATCCATTCATATTTGTTACTGATGTACATGGTGTATTTAAGCATGATTTTCTTCGGTTAGGCCAGCTCTACGTCCTCTCTGTTTCAGTATCTTACTGACTATTATCCACTTCTGGTGGCCAAGTTTCATAGAGTGATTTGGAGAGTCTACAGCAGTGCTCCCCTGAAAAATAAACCATCCTCAGGAACTGAACGATATCCTATCTACCCGAGGTTATAACTGTTGAGATAATCTGTAACCTTCAGAACTCATGAGGAGGACCATGACGTCCTGCTGTTGCTTCCTCTCGGTGCTTAGCTATCATGCTATACAGTGCGGGCTGTTTTGTTGTATTGCTGTGAGACTTGGCCTATTCGAGCAGCGGAACTGAGACGTCTTCAGGTGTTCGAAAATCGTTGTCTCAGAACCATAGCTCGTGTGGGTTGGTGTCGGCGAATCCGTAACGAAGCAGTTAGAAAGCGCGTTTTCGATTGTGCAACGGGTACTTCCATTGAAGAACGTGTCCAGCACCAGAAGCTGCGTTGGTTGGGACATGTGTTGCATATGCCGAACCATCGTTTGCCGAAGAGAGTGCTGTTTTCCATGCCCGATTCAGAGTGGCGTAAGCAGAGAGATGGCCCACCCTTGACTTGGTAGAGAAGTATGAAGGAGATCACAAAACGCTTAGGTGCTGTCGGTGCTACTCGCCTTCCAGGATGGGGACCGCGTGATCCTGACTGTGCCTGGTTGGACACACTACAAGGTATGGCTGTCAGCCAATGTCAGTGGTGTTCTTGTTGTCAGTTTCTATCCAGATCGTCTGAGTGAGTGTCTGGAGGTATAGGCACCTCGGAATGATTGTGGTAAGCTAGCACCAAGTTCATTCCCCGTTCATCTTTACTCTTTTGTGTATAACAAGGCTTTCAAATAAATCATGGTTGTACGGCAGTGAAGCATGGTGTTGAACACTGATGTCATGCTGTCGATAATGATGATGACTAGCTATCATGCCACTTGAAAGACACACAAGGACTGACGTACTGTGAGGTTGCCCAAACCTAGACAGGATGATTCGAGATGCAGAGTTTGGGGTTTAAGCACAGAACTTCATATCAACAATCTATCGTTCTAACTACTGAGCTATCTCGAAGACCACAGAAGTCAGATATGCGTAGTATCCTGGAACCCTCTGACTGCTCTCGTTTCTGTTACCTGAGAAGACGTTCTACATCTGGTGCAGGTGAACCATTCGATGACATATCGGTTGAAAATCATTTGGAGGGGTATATTGTCACATAACGCTGGTGGCACCGCATTTCATGATTGCAGGAATGCTACCGCCGTGTACTTTTATCCCAAAAATATTCTAACATAAACTGTTATATTGAAAACACCCGCATGAAACATGAACTTCAGCGTATCGACGGAAAAATTGGTCACTAAGTGTCCGTGTGCCTAGTGAACATCAGCAAGTATAATGTTGATTTTCCACTTTCCGTGTCAAAAGTGCATCCCAGTTAGGAGCGCTTGTGACTCTGATTGACCGGTCATCGGACCTATTAGATTCGTTGACTTTTGGTCCGCTTACATGTCCATCGGGCTATTCCAACGCGTACCACACCGGAATTAGTTGACCCTACATTTTCATCGGCGTGCTTGCTGGGACTTCGTACTTGATGTACGATTGTCGGATCTTTTTTCAATGCCCCGGATTTCCGCCGTCGGAAAATCATCCAACACCTTCATCTACGTGTGACTCTTCCTGTATTCGTCATTCTCAGACGGCTGCGACACTCTTCTAGTGCTCTCTAGTGTTTTGATCCCCTGGTCGTGATAGCTCAGAATAACATCGATTTTCGAAATACACTTGTTTACATATTGATTTGGTGTTAACTGCACAAGCCACTGGGTCCCAACGAAATCTGTCGTTTAGCATATTCTTCAAGTGGATGTTGAACATGAAATGGACGGTAAATCGGGGACTGCACTTGCCTGATGAGTTTCAGGAAGGACGGAACCGGGCGTCGGATGTCGAAGAGTCTTCAGCAACCTTACGAGTAGTATGTTGAGTATGGTCAAATGGGACTCGGATGTCCAGCTGGTTAGCGCTTCTTTCCAGTAGCGCTCAACTGTGGTTAACACTGAATCACGTACTCATGTTCTTGGCTGACGGTGGCAGGTGGCAGGTGCAACTAGATTTTCGCGAAGGTGGTTCAACTGTTGCATCACCATGTATATATCGTTCTGTGAGATGGTTTATTACTACTCCTAACCTGTCATTTTTTCGCATTTTAGCGCACGAGACCGTTCATGAATCTGCGAGTGCACTGAATCCGTGGATCTCGGATAATCCAGACCATTGGAACACAGACGCACGCCCCAAATACCTACCCATACGGCGTGTGAAGCGTTGGAGCTTCTCCATTCACGAACTCCTCAAGGACCCTATTGGGTTAGAGGAATTTCAGCGGTGGTTAGAAAAGGAATTTTCAGCGGAAAACTTGCGTTTTTGGCAGGCGTGTCAAGTAAGTGAACAGATGATGTACAATGCCTCAGGTTTATTGACTCCTGTTTTCTAGCTGGTGATCTCGTTAATTTCGTCCCATACACCCCGATCATCATACGACCGTGACTGCCGGCCCATTATTCAACACCATCGAAGTCAAGAGGAATCCGTTGTTAGAGCAGCGCAATGGGAGTAGTCAGACCCCATTTGGCTTACTCCCTGTGCCCCCATGCGAGGCTAGCCTCATCCACTGTAAAGTGGATCACACTTTTGAATCACAGACTATGTCGCTCACAAAAACGCCCGCGCCTTTTTCTTCGAGAGTCAGACTTTGGAGGTAGAAGCTCCAGATGGCGGGCCTCAAGTTCACCCTTTACAGAGGCATAAGCGACCGAGTAGTTTCAGGAGACTGACTCCCCTGTCCCTGCCGAGGCTTGGGCAACGTGGCAGCTTTGTGGTCTGAAGACCACTGGCGATAATGATACCGAAAACTTGGAGCAAAGTGGAGTCGGAATTGTTTTCAGTTGCAAAGGGGAGTAAATAAGCGTTCATCTGCAACACCCTTCCGGTGCCTAGCTGCCATGTTACCCGAAGAACGCAAAGGGGAGTAAGACTGGACTGATTGGATTCCGTCAAACAGCCGCTTATGCGCTCTCAGCTTCTGAATGCAGTTTCCCCTCATGGAGCCAATAAACATGCGTTGTCCTTCGTATCATACTACTCTTTACAGAAGGTAATTCAGCGCACGAAAAGAGTGTTTTATACAGTACATTGTCATATATTCTTCTCTAAAAAACGATCGTCACTCTAATTCTGATATGAATGGGACTGCATAACTGTCACCTTTGGATCTCACCGTGTCCACAACATTAACAACAGATTACTTCCCAACTAACTCCATACGCGATGCATCTTGAAGTACTATCGTTCCTTTCGGAGCCACTGTGTTCATCCCCAGCTTGAAACAATCCTTTGTTGATAGACCATCCACCCACTGTTATGAGCTGAATCTACGTCCGAGCAGCAAACCGATGATCAGAATTGATCAACAACCGATCATTTCACATCCCTCACCACGAGGTCAGCAGTCAGATTTAGGCGAACATTAGTGTGGACTGCATGTAGAGTGGCCAGCTTCTTAACCCGATGTCTGTACCAGAGAGAACCCTATGCCTTCCATCCAACGTTATCCCTGTCTCCGTATGCATGCAAAAACTCCCACGTTCTTCCATTTCCCCCGAGTGAAGTGGCAGATTGAGCCTTGATACCTATCGCTCCATCTTATTATCGTCTGTTTTATCGGAATCACCAGTATTTGTCTTTGCCAAGCGACCAGTACTAAACGTGCAACCCCATAAGCGCCTCATCTGGATTTTGAAGTGTAAAAATAGATCAACAGGCATCCTACCTAATGGTTTTTAAACTTCGGGCTCCTCTCGTGAGCCCTAAGTCGTTCTGTTCAACTATGTCAAGGGTTCTGTCCTTTGACCTGTGACGGGAATTCATCGCCTGAATTGGTGGTCTTCTATGCAGATAGTCAGCAACAGGATCCATAGGCAGCGTACTTTTAAACCCGGTGCAGATTAACTGGACTGGCATGAAGGTTTCGTTACTTTTTCCGGCCCTGGTTTCACTTTATGTTAAGGCGTTACTTTGCGCTGCATCCTTGTGTTCGTAGATGACACCACCTTCATTGTTCATTTCGAGTAACAGCTAGCCAGGCGTCCCCTCTAACATCACCCTGGAACACCAATATCACTGAGGTTGTGCGATGGGAATGCAACCGAAATCAGTTCTTCCAAAACCAGTTGGATTCTTCTATCACTAACTCTAGGATTTTCACACGAAAGAGACTCAATCGGTATTGCAATTTCTCCTAATGTATCGTCTATCCTGGGAATAGCTTTCTCTAGTAATCTTCATCAGTCCAGTCGTTGTCATCATAACCACAGTTATCAGCTATAAACGATGTACACATTACGCAAAGACTCTAGCTGACACAGCCCCGTTTGCCTATGATCTTGGATATCCGTTATCACTGAGATGTAAGTTCAAGGGTCGGTGTAGACGTTCGTTTCTAGTGGGGAAGTGGAAACGATGTACCAAAGGCAACAGCTTGGATGCATACGCACCGTTTGGATCATGTCTGTCAGTGTTCCTGATCATCACTATGCCCCGTACCGAGATGAATTTACAGTTTTTGGCTTTCAGGCTTCGCTGTTAGGTTTGACGTCCTCTAGCCGCTTCACACCTTCCGAGTGATTTGCGATGAGAGATGTTTAAGGTGTTTAATAGCTGGTCCACAAAACACGTGAACATGCGAGTCCAAACTGTGACTTGTCGTCGCTTTGTTTATCGTGCGCTATCAACCTCTTTCACAAACATTGTGGCCTACTTTGACTGTACTGAACCAGTGTTACCACCCGATTTCAGCTATTCTCCGAATATATCGTCTTCAGCTCTTACTGATCGGGTTTCTGGCTCATTTGGCAACAGGTTACACTCTGCAGCGTTATGACAACCTGATTTCACTTTCATTCCACAAATATTACGGTTTGGCACAGGCCGCCTCGGGCCTTTCCTGTTCGAATGATGATATTGACTTTAGCCGGACCGTCGTGTTCATTGCAGCTACTGAGGCAAACGAACTTGTCTACCATCTCGATTAATAAGCATGTGGTCATGGTTTGGTTCCGCCCAGCCTTCTAAAAGCACCTACCAAGTGGTTAGAGCGCGAAGTTACTGACAGGAAGATCTGTGGTTTGAACCCAACCTCTGCCTCTCGACTTCCTCTGTCTAGGCTGCGGCGACCTGGCAGTATACCAGCCCTCGTGCCTCATTCGTGTGGCGTGGCAGTTAGGCATCGAAAGGGTGTTACGGTTGAACGGATGAACCATTTCCTGTGTGTGTGCGTGTGCGTGCGGAAGACTCATTATGTAGCCTTGTCGGCTTTGTTTGGATCTTGATTTGGTGAGTACTAATCAGAGCTATATCGTCTGGGTACTTCATCTCAACCGTTGGTGTTGTATCCTGTTACACCGTTGTAGAAGGCACTGCACAGTTAGGATTTTGGTGACTAAGTACATTGTTTTCACCTTGAAATACTCACAGAAAATGAATACTTTCCGCGAATGCTCCTGTGACAGTGGTGCCTTACTGTTTCCTGTTTTCATAATCCTCAGTACTATCGTTCAGCTGTAGCACGTAACCGCTACGTCACCCGAAGAGGGCACGAGGGCTAGGTTATTGTCAGATTGCCCAGGCCTATACAGAAGAAGTCGAGAGGCAGAGGTAGGGTTCGAACCTCGGACCTTCTGGTCAGTAGATTTGCGCTCTAACCACTTGAACCATCTCGCCCCCCTCACTACTATACATATCTATAATTCTTGCTCACTCCGATGCTTTGTTACCAAAACATATCCGTTTTTTGACTTCTAGGAGCTCAAAGGAGCCCCACTACGTGAGCTGCGTCAGCGCGTGCTCAACATCTACAACCAGTATCTGGCCCCCAACGCCGTGGACCCACTGAATGTGGACAGTCGGATTGCCGATTCTATCCGACGTCAGCTCAGCAACACCTCCCCTGATGTCAATCTGGATCGATATTGCTTCGAAGAAGCCGAGAGTCATATTTTTCACCTGATGAAGTCGGATTCCTACTATCGTTTCCTCCGTTCCGACTATTATCGCGAATTATTCAGTGGGGTGAAAAAGAAATCGAAAAAGCATCGATCTGGCGTCGGACTTGCTGGCGGAGCAATCGGCGTACAGGCTGCTGGTGTTGGAGTTGGTTTAGATTAGCCATCCTAACTCGTACAATTTCCCTCTAATTCTAGGTCGAACTGCCCCATGTGCGCTTCGCCTCTGTGATATGGTCACACTATGTGCTAAACTCCACTCTAGTCGACTCGTGATAGCAACGATGCATTTATTGTCTGGTTTGTCCATGTTTTTGTTTCGTTGTTTTCAATGTTGTGCCTCCACCTACCTGATCTTGCCGTTTACCCAATTTTCAGCATTTTGACTTTCCGTGAAAACACCACACACTTTGAGGCTACTTTCACTCTCTTACGGATGCATTTCATTAGTAGTTTATTTTTCGTCAAATTGTTTGGCACATTTCCAAGTCTACTTTGATAATCATTACACACCTTACCCATTTTCGAAGGCAGACTTTTGCGTTCAAAAAACACTCGGCGAGAGCTTTTTCATCGGATCGCGTTTGGTGCGGTTTAAGGAGGTTTTTGAAATCGGCCAACTCGTTTTGTTACTTTGTATTATCACGCAACACTAGAAGGGTAGAGTAGAACTCCTAATGAACGATGTCAATCTGAGATTTTATGGAGGGCGTCATATCTTTAACAATTTGAGGGATGTTTTCGTGGAACATACGACAAATTAGAGGGCATCAAGAAGCAGACGGCATCGGGAAAAGAAGCCGCCCAGCCCTCGTGCTTCCTTCGGGTGGCATGGCAGTTAGGCACCGAAAGGGTGCTATATCTGAGCGGAACACGCCACTTACAATCAAGATAGATGCACTCGAAGTTGTGGAGCGTTTTACGTGTCTTGGAAGTTGTATTAATTCCGACTGTAGTGTGACAGATGAGGTGAATGCATTAATTTGCAAGGCTCGGGTCGCGTTTACTGATTCGAGGCATCTGTGGCGTCAACGTGGTGTATCCCTTGCTGTGACATGTATATAAGGCTACGGTATGGGCTGTTTTGTTGTATGACTGTGAGACTTGGTCTGTTTGAGCAGCGGAACCGAAACGTCTTCAGGTGTTCGTCAACCGTTGTCTCAGAACCATACCTCATGTCGGTTGGTGTCGCCGAATCCGTAACGAGGCAAGTAGAAAGCGAGTTCTCGTTTGTGCAACGGGTACTTCGGTTGAAGAATGTGTCCAGCACCAGAAGCTGCTGGACATGTGTTGCGTATACTGAACCGTAGTTTGCCGAAGAGAGTGTTGTTTTTCGTGACAGTTTAGAATGGCGTAAGCAGATAGGTGGCCAGTCCTTGATTTAGCGGAGGGGTGTGAAAAAGACTACGAAAGCTTTGAGTGCCGTCAGCGCTACTTCAAGGATGGGGACCACGTGATCCTCACTGCGCCTGGTTGGAGACACTGCAAGTTATGGCTGCTAATCGATGTCGATGGTGCTTTTGTTGTCAGTTTCTATCCCCATCGCCTGAATGCGTGTCTGGATATGTACGCAGATGGCCCAAGTGGTTAGCGCGCATATTTACTGACCCGGAGGTTCGTGGTTCGAACACGAACTCTGCCCCTGGACGTCCCCTATCTAGGCTTGGGCAACCTGACTGTGTCCCAGCTCCCTTCGGGTGGCATGGCAGTTAGGCACCGAAAGGGTGCTATAGCTTAACGGTTTTTTATGAGCAGATATGTGCGTAACATCCGTTTCTGACCCGGTCTACCATATAACCACCGTTCAGCAATGTTTGAGTATTCCTTTAGGTCTTACACTGCACAAAATAAACCGTTTCAATCAGTACGAAATCTACGCAACAAATGTGTACTTTGAAACAAGCGGCAAATGAAATTCAAGCACTCCCCCCATGGAGCAAACTGCTTTGTGGCTACACATACTGGGACCTCGGATGTGTTCATTCATGACTGACAGAAAGTTTGAGGCTGGCAAAGTTCGGTCACGTGGGATTTTGTGCAAAACGAACTATTTATTCGGAAAACGAGATGGATCCGAATATCATGAAACGATTAGGCGTGGCGTAAAGTGCAGATGGTAGTCCGATATGTCTCGACAGCGCTTTATTTTCAACTTTCGATCACTGTGTATCATCTCTGTCAAGTGAGTACCGAGTGAATGCGCGTAAATGGAAACAAGGATAGGGTTTGGAAGTTTCTTTGAGCCGATTAGGGCATCACGCACGAGTTAGTAACTATGTCATCATCGGCAGCATGATATCAGTGTTCCGCTGCTGTATAACCATGATTTATTTGCAAGCCTTATTGTGGAGAAAAGCATGAAAGTTGACGGGGAAGGGACTGAGTGCTAGCTTACCACAATCATTCCGAGATGCCTACACCTCCAGACATTCACTCAGGCGATCTGGATAGAAACTGACAACAAGAACGCCACTGACATCGGTTGGCAGACATATCTTGT